CAATCGCGTGACTACAAACAAAATAACGGCATCCCTGGTTACAGGAATATTACTATTTTGTTATAGTGGCTAACACGATCAATCCAGAGCAGAGGGTGCTAAAAATCTCCAGTTTAACAACCAATTTGTTAAAGTTGTGTGAGGCCTGACACAATGAATATACATATATGTATATTCGTGCATATGTATAAAAAAAAATGCATATCTGTCTCTGTCTGAAAGATATACATTTATCTATCAATTTATCTGATAGATAGGCCTATCTAGAGTGATAGATATATATTTGTTTCTGTGTATATGCATGTCTGAATGATGAATATTCTTTGTCAGGCCTTGCACAATTTCAACAAACTGGCCAAAAGACAGGCCACCCCACATTGATGAACATTTACACGTAAAACAAATGGACTATAAGCACAGAATCTGCTAGCACTGCTTGAAGAACTCTCTTTCATTAAGTGGTATGTTATGGGACTCAGTGAAGTTAGAAGAACAAAAAATACTAGGAGGCACCAGAAATGAGAGGGGACAAATGCTAATCAATTTTGTTGAGGCTTGATCACTAAATCTCATAAATGCATTTTACAAAAATAACTAGAGTGGAAGTGGACATGGAAGTCATCATATCAAAACAAAATTGCTCCATAATTCTTAATATGCACAAAATAGTAAAAAACATGAAAGTTATTAAAAGAGTAAATGTTGGAAGCAACCACTGAATAGTCAAAGGCAAAATTAAACCAAACCTCAAAAGGGAAAGCAATAAACTCATATGAAAACCATAGTCTAATCAGACTAACTTGAAAACCAGGATGACAGAATTTATCTTTAACATCCAAAACAGATACTTTTCAGTGACGAAGATCTTAACACTGACAAAATCAACAAACATTTCAATAATATAGTAAAGGAAATAGACAGTAAAAGACGACAAGCAAGGCTCCAGCAAACTCTTGGTAGAAAGTAAACAGTTATGTAGGGTCAAGAAAATAGAATCAGCTGAACTAATGAAGACCATAAAAAGAAGAGGGAAGATGTACAGAAATTCAATACTCAAAAATTTAATGAAACAGTGATTTTAGATACCAGCATGAAAACAGCTAAAAGGAGACTTAGAATCCAAATGTATGCAATAAAGATACCAGACAGAGATGTGACATTTAACAAGAATAAAATTTCTCACTCAATTTAACAGTAAAGACAATGAGATGAATCCTGATAAATATGTAAAAATATAATTTTTCCTGCAAATTCATGGAAAGATCAAATAAGGTGAGGTTACATGGTCTAATAATTAACTGCGTAGTGGCTTGGGAGTTGCAGTGCCATCTCTGGAGAATCTGTACGGTATGGCTAAACTAGGTTCAGGCAAATTGAAGATGATGTTCTTGTAGAGGACAAAAAGCAATAGAGGTTGGTACAAGAAATAATCTCGCTTGCCCGTGCAGCTCGCACACCGTCTTCTGCCCTACTACATACTTACGTCACCACTACCTCACAACCAATCAGGAGGCGGCAGTTTAGCAGAGATTTTTAATTGCTCATTAAAGTTCAAGTATAATATTCCATATACTATATCATAAAAATGCACACGACTATCAACTAACGTTTCATATATATACATGTCTCAGCCCTTTTTTACATTAAAATGTGCATTTTGATCCTCAATATTGGCTAACTCATTAACATCCTTAATTGTCAAACTACTCAAATACAGTCGATACTTAACACATGCACATTTCTGGCTACACTAGTGACCTGCCTCATTCTTCTCAGTGAAAATGACCAATGTGTGTCATTTGTGTTACAGGTGGTGTACTTGACTTTTCTTTTGAAATTTAATGGAAAAACTGAAGAGATCATGAAGTTTTTACAGATTCATGGAATCATCCTAAATGAAAGAAAGTGTGAAAAGTGCAGTGTAATTTTCTGAACTGTTTCAGCTCTATCTTGCCGTGCATACCGAGGTGAAGAGAATGTTCCCCGGGGGTGTTGGGGGGCGGAGCCCCCCATCAACCCTCCCCTCGGGCAGTGCCTGAAGGGCACACCCAGTGACCACAACTTGGACAGTTGAGTAAATTTTGTGTTGGTTACCATGTGCACTTGCGCTTTCATATTCAAATATGGCGGCATACTCAGACACTCTGATTTCGGAAAAGTCGTATTTCATTGCATTCATAATTAACTTTGGTCATTTACTGACACTGAAATCAAGCTGGGCCCACTCTTTATCCACCCCCAAACCCCCCGTTCCCCACATGTCCCCCAAGATTGTTGGGTGGAGTTGGGGACTTAGTCTCTGGTGGGTGCGTCTGTACTATAAAGAATTACCCCATCTCTGTACAGGCATTTCACAAAACAATACTACAGTGAACACATTTTCCTGAAGACTTTGGGCTAACTCCTCAGATCCAGTTGCTTTATGGCAATCACATGGACCAAAATACAAACATTAAGCTTATGTGAGTGGCTGCTCTGATGGGTGCATGGAGTGTAGGCTGGGTGCATGCAAACACTTGTCTGTGGTGACAAGACTCTATGCCTTCTTTTGCAATGGTAATTGTTACAGATAGCGACACACCCTCCCAGAGACTAAGTAAAAAAAAATTATGTTTTTTCAGGAAATCTAAAGATTTCATTGATTCTTGGCAATGTTTCTTCTACATGAATTGATGAGATCGAGTACCATTTCTCCATCAATGATCTTGCTTTGCTAGTCCCCATAGCAGGAGAGGGAATGAAGCATATCAGGGAAATTACAGGGTAAAATACGTTTGAATAAGAATTGAGAGAAAAAAAGTGTAAAACCAGCCCTAAAAACTCTTAAAATCAGCTAATAAAACTCTGAGGACATACTTGCCATCTTTGAAATTTCAAAGACTGACACCCACCTTTCGGCAAAATCTACAAGAATTCACATATTCCAAACACCCCCAAAAACGTACTGCCCAATAAACCAACCTAATCTAACAATTTAAGTTACCGTGACTTTGTATGCCCTTCGGACGCTGCCTGAAGGGAGGGTTGGTGGGGGCTCAGCTCCCAACACCCCTCAGGAAACATACTCTTCACCTCGGTATGTACGGCATGATACAGTTCACATCGTAAAATAATAAACCAAATACCTTTATATCTGGAAACATCAAACTCTTGTTTGCTTCTTTCTACTGTATGGATTGCTTCAATTTTGATCCTCCATTTTGGCATTTGGGGTACTTGATGGTCTCAGGTATTAAACTGAGATGGTTACTAGCCTTATTTCTTCTTCATCACCACAGTATAATTTTAAGAATAACCCAGAAACAACAGAACACTGGAAATGCAACATTTCACAAGGTGACCAACTTTGAACTGTCAAACCTTGTGGCTGGCAACTGAAGGTGGAAACGCATGATGCGCAGTTAATTCTAAATAAGTGTATAGATAAATTTTAAAACATGTAAATGAGGTCTAATAACATTAATAAAAGACTTTAACCCATTGCCGACGGGTAAAAATGTTTGGCAAGTGGACGTATGGACGGGCTTGTTGGCACGCATCGGCAGTTTCCCCTGTTTGTGCCCGGCTCGATCGGTAGTTTGCGAGCGACATTTAGCACCTAAAAGTTTTTATTTTGTTATAATTTATAAAAACATTAAAATTTTGAAGGTTTACCTTTATTATAGGTGCCATTGCCTAAAATCTTTACCTTATATATGAAGCCACTACTATCAGAGAAAAACAAACTCCGTCTGACGAACCAGTGGCATGGGAATGGGCATGACATGATGCCACCCGCCTTTCGGTCCACAACAGCCATGGCATGTACATACATGCCACCCGTCGGTTAGGGGTTAAAAGCATAAATGTGTAACAGCAAACACTGATAATATGCCAAATATCATTTTGACAAGCATGTAGTAACATATAAACCACTTGGGATATCACAGTAATGAGTTGTTTTGTGTTATTCCTGGCAAAGTAAGCAGGATGAGCGACAGAATCTGAGCGGTGATCTACAGGGAATATTTTTGTTATTTAGGAGTAAAAATGAGGCCACTGCAGCTTAAAATATGTTGTATCCCATTCTACTTCTTCCACTCTATAAAATGCCAGTGTCCATTTCCTTCTAACTCTGTGCATCGCTGTAAGCAACTTATACTGTTTGCAATTTTACTTTCTCTTTTTATGCATAAGCAGTCTTAATATATTCTCACATACATACATATGTCCATATTTTTATTTGATTTGCTTCATCCAGATGGTAATAAACTGTTTTCCTTGCACTGACTCCATATCACTTCTCTAGATGTGGAATTCAGGTTGAATAAAATATAAACGGAACAATGAAAGGAAAAACAAGAAAGCACATGAATAAGCTGACACTTGTGGAAGCTAATATGTGTACCCGAGTGCATTTTTATGGAAGATATTAGTCATCGGTTGTGCAGTTTGTAAAATTTTACAATCTTGTATTGTTCAGTATCTCCATCAAGATTTGAGTTCCTAATTCTCACTATTAATTTTTCTTCTCCAAAATAATTTCCACAACAAATAGAGGTAATTTTCTATATTACCTTCGCCTCTCCGATATTGACGATTTTGGTATCATTGGATTCCTCTCACTATGTACAATCCAAATATGTAGGAATCCCCCCTTAGCGGCAAACTTGGCCCCGATAGCAGGGGCGACGATGTCGCAGCGGTGGACGTAATATAGAAAATTACCCTAACAATATAACCCACAGTGAAAATAACCATGGTTATTCACATGACTTTCCATTGCAGGGGGCTGTGCCCCCTACGACCCCCCCTGAGGGGGGGCTACCGCCCCCCAAACCCCCTTCGAGGACACAAAAAATCCCCCACGTATTCACCGCTCTTCTATTCATGGTATACCTTGTTCATCCTGATTATATCACAATCGTATCTATATACAAAGTTGACTATGTCAAAGTTAGTATGCCGGTTCAGTGGGAATGTTACGAGGTAAATGTAATACTTCCGCCGCTTCGAGATCGCTGATAACTGTGTAACATTCTAGCCTGCCGGGAATACGTGGTGGAGGTTTTGTTTCCTCGGCGGGGGTTCCCGCCCCCCAGGAGGGTCGCAGGGGGCACAGCCCCTTGCATTGGAAATTCATGTGAATAACCATGGTTACTTTCACTGTCGGTTATATTAGTGCTATTTAACCCCACATTTTCCCTGGAACCTTCCATGCCCTCCCCTGCTATCGAGGCCAAGTTTGTCGCTAACGGGGGGTTTCCGTGCAATAAAAACTATATATTTGCAATGTGGACAGTGAGAGGAATCCAACGATACCAAAATCGTCGATATCGGAGAGGCGAAGATAATATAGAAAATTACCTAAATAGAAAATATCAAAATAAGTAAATTACGAACCAATGAAAAAGCAAGAGAAGCAAAAAAAGAAAAGAAAATCCAGCAAAGACGTCAACATCAAGCAAACGGGAAAACGCCCACAAACGTTGATTAAACCTAACATTCAAATCAAATAAAAGAATTTCACTTCAACTATCACACTTTTACATATATCTCCTTAAACACACCATCTGAGCTCAAAAACTACAACAACACTTCTTCATGCAGTATTTACTTACAACTTTCTTTGGATCATTGGACCTCATGCTCTGACGTGACATTTTGTTTTCTTTTCTCAGCTGATTCAGGTAAACTTCTCAGCGTTCGAAAATGAACGAAATAGTTTATTAACATTTACAATATAACTAGCAAAAGTAGTAGCATTATTATCAATTTTTAAACAAAAGAATGTTTTCATTTCTGGATGATCGACGTAAAAGATGACATTCGAAAAAAAAAATAATAAAAAAAAAAAAAAAAAAAAAAAAATATATATATATATATATATATATATATATATATATATATAATATAATACATATATATATATATATATATGTATATAATATATTTTGTATATATTTATTTATTTATTTATTTATTTGAGAATATATATGCGCACGAAATACAAACATTCAGTTTTATTAGTAAATGTGTATGAATAGCTATATGTATGTGCGTTAAATAAATAAGTATAGATGGGTGAAGCAAATGCATGAGCATCAATATGCGGGAAATATGGCATAAAACAAGAAAACACACACACACACACACACACACACACGTATATGTATGTATGTGTGTGTGTGTGTGGTGTTGTGTGTGTGGTGTTGTGTGTGTGTTGTGTGTGTGTGTTGTGTGTGTGTGTGTGTGTGTGTGTGTGTTGTCTTACCTAGTTGTTCTTACCTAGTTGTTTGGATACGGGAGAAGAGCTATGCTCAGGTGGTCCCGTCTGCTATATTTAAATTATCATATAACTTTTTAAATTGATGCACAGTTTTGACACACTTGATTGGGGAGACTGTTCCACGATTCAATAATTCTGTTTGGGAAACTATATTTTTTGACATCTTTATCACCTCTTTTTACTTTCAACTTTTTGTTGTGTCCTCTCGTTCTTCTTGTGTTCAAGATCAAAAAGTCATCCTTATCTATTTTCACTCTTCCTGTAATGCAGTTGAAAAGCATAATCATGTCCCCCCTTTTCCTTCTTTCTTCCAAGGTAGTAAGTCCTAATTTTTGTAGTCTGTCTTCGTAACTCAGATCTCTTAGGTAGGTGCCCATCTTGTCGCCGCTCTTTGGACTCTTTCCAGTTTGTCAATATCTTTTTTCAAGTGTGGACTCCATACCACTGCACCGTACTCAAGATGGTCTTATGATTGCTTTAATAATCTTCTTTACCATATCTTCGTCCACATACACGAATGCCCTCTTCATGTTGGCAATCAGTCCTAACATTTTGTGGACCTTTTCATTTATATGGTCATTTGGATTTAGGTTTCTATTTATGATTATCCCAAGATCTTTTTCCCTGTCAGCTGTGTCTAATACTGCGTCCCCTAATTTGTATTGGAATAGTGGGCGATTTCTACTTTCTCCAAACCTGACTACGTGGCATTTATTGGTATTGAATTCCATTTTCCATGTACAACTCCACGTGAATAAGTTCTCGATGTCACTTTGGAGGCATTGGCATGAGACGTTGTCTGTTACCTCTTTTGTATCTTTGCGTCGCAAACATATTCAGATAACTACCTGGGCTTATGTTTGACTCTAAATCATTGACGAAAATAGTAAACATAATTGGCGCCAACACCGATCCTTGAGGCACTCCGCTGGTTACTCGTCGCCATGTAGAATGCTTTCCTCTAATTACTGTGCTCATTTGTCTTTCATGAAGAAAGTCTTTCATCCATGCGAGTAGGTTACCTTTCACTCCACCTAGGTGCTCTAGTTTCCATAGTAGTCTTCTATGAGACACCTTATCAAAAGCCTTCTTAAAGTCTAAATACACACAATCCACCCAGCCGTCTCTTTCTTGTAATATTTCAGATACTCTATTATAAAAACAGAGGAGATTTGTTACACACGACCTTCCTTCTCTAAAACCAAATTGTTTATTTGATATCATTTCGTATTTTTCAAGCATTTCAACCCATTGTTTTCTAATTATTCTTTCTAGCAGTTTGCATACTACACTAGTTAATGAAACTGGTCTATAATTTAGTGGGTTTTGTTTGTCGCCGCTCTTATATAAGGGTGTAACATTTGCGAATTTCCAACTTTTTGGTAGTTTACCTTGTCTTAGTGAATTTTGAAATATTAACAATAAAGGAGTACACAGCTCTTCGACACATTCCCTAAGAACCCAGTTAGAAATTTCATCTGGTCCCTCTGCTTTGGTCTTGTCTAATCCTTTTAGCAGATCTTTTATTTCGTTCTTTTTGAGGGTGATATTTTCGATGTTCTTTACGTCTACGGGTATTTGCCATATCAAAGCATGGATCCTGAACAAACACTGACTGAAATTTCTCATTTAGGATTTCACACATTTCTTCCTCCTTAGAATATATAATGTTATTGTCTTTGATAGCGCTAATTTGATCCCTACTTTTAGTTTTACTATTTATGTAGTTAAAGAAGAGTTTTGGTTGACTTGCATTTGTTTATTATGTCCTTTTCAAAGTCTAATTTCGCCTCTCTCATGGTTTGGGTATACTCATTTCTTCCTACTTTATATCTTTCATATGCTGCCTGAGATCTATGCCTTCTGAATCTTTTCCAAAGGAGATGCTTTTTTCCCTCTCATTTTCTTGCATTTGTCGTTGAACCATTTTTGGCCATTTCTTGCTTCAATTTTGAATTTGGATGAATTTTTCCACTCCTTTTTTATAGATCTCACAAAATTTTGCATACTGAACATCAAGGTTCTCATCATCCAGAAGTGTTTCCCAGTTTATGTTATCAAAGAAATCTTTAAGGCTTCTATAATCACCTCTTTTGTAATTGTACTTTTCCTTTCTTTCTTTGCTTACGATGAGTTTTTCCTGTAGCAGACAGTATTTTAGTTTAATCACTACATGGTCGCTTTTTCCTAAAGGAGGACAGTATTCGATATCCTTAATATCGTCGTTATGCTTTGTAAATATTAGGTCAAGCATAGACGGCCTATCTAGCCCTCTTATCCTGGTATGATCTGTTACATTCTGGAAAAGGCAATGCTCATTTATGACATCTAGTAATTTAGCATTCCAAGAATCTGATTGTGCTCTAGGATCGAGACTTTCCCAGTCGATTTTGCTATTAAAGTCCCCTGTAATAAGAATTTCTGTTGAATTGGTTTCCGAAAGTTGTAGCACTTCTTCCAGGCTCTTTATTGTCTCTTGAATTAGTTTCTGGTAATTTTCTAGTGACCACGCCGATGTTTGAGGTGGCATGTATACCGTGGTTATTATTATGTTTACCCCATTTGTTTCTACCTCAATTACCTTCATTTCCACTATGGGGTCCTGATTAATTTCTAACTCCTTTATAATAATTCCTTTCTTTGTTAATATTGCTACCCCCCCCCATTTCCATCTGCCCTATCTTTTCTCCAAATATTATAGTCTTTAAGCCCTAATGTTACATCGCTGTGGAGGGGTCCAGTTTGGTTTCAGTGATGCATATTACATCCGGTTTATCCATATCAATTATTGTCTCTAGTTCAAGCAACTTCGAAGATAACCATCAATATTTGTGTAAACTATTTCTATATAATCTTTAGGTATTAAATTTGGTTGCAGGGTTAATGTTTGTCTGCCTCTACATTTTGGTTCCGATAGTATATTTGCTTTGCTTGGAGACCTCTCACCCTCCAAATAAATAAGTTTTTTTCCTCTTCAGTCCTTTGTTCATTTTTGTTTTTTACTTCTTCCAATTTCTTTTGTAGTGTTACTCTGTCATCTTTGGTCATGTTTTCTCTTATCCAGATTTTTTTTATTCCTCATGGGTGGCCAGAACTTTGGCTTTCTTTATTATATCAGTTACTATTTGCTTATTCAAGAATGTTACTTTTAGAGGCCGTTTCTTTCCCTTTTCGAATAATCCTAGCCTCCTGTGAGCTATGATATTCTGCTCGGCGAATTCGGGATTTATGACCTTGAGAATATCTACAATTAATTTCTTGTCTTCGTTGTATCGTTCAATTCCATCTTCTACAACTTTTTCTTCGTGTCCCAATATTACTATGTCCTTGTTTACGTCAGCCAAATTAGCAATATTTCTTGCATGTTGCCCAAGGTGGGATTTGAATTCAGTCTTCTTTATCGTTGCTGCAAGCTGTGTGTTAATTTCCTCCTTTGTGGTCTTGATGTCTTTTTTTTTATCTTTTTTCCATTTCATTGACGGTTTTTTACCTTTGATACATCTGCATATGTAGCTGTCATCATCTTGGCTTCTTCCATTATATGAGGTTGGCTGTATGACAAATTACTTTCAGTCTGTTTGACAGTTTCTTGAACTTTAATAACCTCCTCAACTTTTCCCTGGAGATTTTTTGCTTCGGTTTCACTACCGTTGCTAATTTTGGTTTCAGCTTCTTCTAACTTTCTTAGTTCTTTAATTTTCAGGTCAGATTTTTCCATATTTTCTCTCTGAATTGTTGTATTTCTACGCAGATTTTTACCAATTCCTTCAGATTCACATTATCTTCACCTGTAAGTAAGTCTGTGTGTGTGTGTGTGTGTGTGTGTGTGTGTGTGTGTGTGTGTGTGTGTGTGTGTGTGCGTGTGATATATATATAATATATATATATATATATATATATATATATATATATATATATATATATATATATATATATATGCATTCTTGTCTAGCAATCTTGCGATGCTAGCGGATGGTAACCCCGGCCATTCCTTGCACACAGGGGGTAATTTAGATGTAAATAAACGACCAACATGTCACAAAAAAGAATATTCATTATTGCAAATGGAATTAAATCAAATCATTATTACTATATACGAAAATGATGATGATATATATATATATATATATATGTGTGTGTGTGTGTGTGTGTGTGTGTGTGTGTGTGTGTGTGTGTGTGTGTGTGTGTGTGTGCGTGCGCACACACACACACACACACACACACACACACACACACACACACACACACACACATATATATATATATATATATATATATATATATATATATATATGCATATATGTGTGTGTATATATATATATATATATGGGGGGGAGTACAACACACACACACACACACACACACACACACACACACACACACAACACACACTATATATGTATACA